CCCTCCCCTGACAATTTCTTCTTCCCCCCCTCCACTCCCAATTTCTTCTCCCACCCACCCAATTTCTTTCTCCTCCCCCCCTACCTTGGTTGTAGCGTGGCCGAGCCCTGTATCATGGTCTGTGGGTACAGGGAGCTTTTGTTTCCTGTACCCGGCCGGACTAACAGGAAGTGCACACTCAGTGTTAGTCCGGCCGGGTACAGGAGACAGATGCTCCCTGTACCCGCGGACCATGATACAGGGCTTGGCCACGCTACAGTAAGGGATTGACAGGAGGGAGCGCTGAGCGCTTCCCTACTGTCAGCCCCTCTCCTCAGGCTGCGCCCGGGCGGTGCGGTCCGCCCTCATGGACGCACCGCCCGGGCAAAGCTGCAGCCGCCTGAGGCTCTCTGCAGAGCGCTCGGGCAGCTGCAGCATAGGGGGGCTGGCGCTTCCCTAGGCGGCTGCCTAGTCCGCCTAACAGGTAGCGCCAGCCCTGTTTACCTTAAATCTGGTACATGTGAGCTGTGTATTCATATTTCTCCGGCTGCCGTAACTGGGACACTTTCTAAGCCTTTCCTGATCGTCATTTGGTTTTGAAGATTTTCCAGAGAACTGATTCTTTCAGTAAATCCTGGTTTCCTATTGCTTTTCTCATTAATAATCAATAAGTTGATATAATCGGCAGTAGAGAGCGGATCTGGTTTTAATGCAATTTCTCGCAGACGTTGAAGACAATCTCTGGCTTTCTCAGTTAGCCTGATTCCCTTCAGCTCTGCTTCCTGTCTTTCTGAATTCAGCTTTTCACAAATCATTTCCACCGACATCTTCTCAGACTGAGCCTTTTCATACTTCTGTTTTAGCTCTGCGTATGATTTCTTTACTGTTACTACTTCCTTCTGCCATTTGAATTTCTCTCGCCGGTGGCTACTCTTGTTATGTTCACAAATCCTACAAGTGGAATTCCAATAAAAAATCTCACAGAAATAAATGAAGGCATCATGTGGAACCAGACATGGGTGGTGACACGTGGAGTCACACTCACTGCAATTGGTCGCATCTGTCTCTGTCTCTATTTTCTTCTTTCTCGTTTCTTTTTCTTCATATTCAAAATGCCCATTCCTCTCAATGTCAGCTCCATGCTGTTTCAGAATGTTTACAATTCTCTCTTTCTCATGGGTTTTTAGCATAACTTCTTCAATACTCTGAACCAGACATTCTAAAACTATCTGTAGAGCTTCCCTTTCCTTCAACACTTCTCTAGTTAATATTACACTTTTTGTACCTAAATCTGGCAAATATGTAAAAAAAATCTGCCATTCCTTCCATGCTTAATTCCCAGCATTGTTTCGAAAAACATTTTTTTTTTTTACTCAAATTACTTATGTTATCTTTGGCTTCAGAAGTGTTTAGAGAACTGTCTGAATTGTTGAATTCAAAATAGATGGCATTTCCATATATATCCTTTGCACATGGAACTGAAAGTTCAGAAACAGAAGCTAAGACTTTTGGAATTCCACTATCACAATGGGTAACACAAAATATAATATTTTTCTCTATATCTTTTCCAAAAAGTCCTAAAATCGCATCAAACACATATCTTTGTACAGGTGTCAAACGTTCATCAGAGGCTTTGACAACAAAACAAACAGCGTCAATTTCATTGATGCCATGAGGAGATGTAAAACAATCCTTTATTTGCTGGACGGTCTCTTTATCCTTCTCAATTCCCTCTGTGTGTGCGAATCCCGGTGTGTCGATGATTGTCAGGGAATATGGGATGTGAAATCCCTCCAGGTGGTTGATTTTATAAACGTGGATACAAGAAGTCTTGCTGGCGGTTGCTTTTCCTTTTTCTTCAATAAGTTTCACTTTGACATCATCTTCCGATTTAACGCCCATGATGTAGTTGATCATTGCGTTGATGAGAGTAGATTTTCCTGAGCCTGTCTCTCCGATCATCATTATCGCTTTGTTTTTCTTATGAAGATCTTCAGTTCCGAACTCCAGTATTTTGAATAAAGATTTTTTAGGAAGCTGTATTGCATTAACAACCAAAGTGTAGACAGTCTGAGATTGTTTCGTAATAAAACCTCCTATATCTCTTAAACCAGGTATCTTCAGGAATGTGGCCTGGGAATCAGCTTCCTCTGTAACAAAATCACAAATGGTTAATATATATTTATTTCATGTATATATAGCTATACGTATGGTACTGTACACACTATCCATCATGAACAGGCAGATTTCCCAGTCAAAAGTGATCCATTGGGTCAGGGTTAAAAGGAAACTCTAAGCACCAAAACAACTTTAGCTTAATGAAGCAGTTTTGGTGTATAGAACATGCCCATGCAGTCTCACTGCTCAATCCTCTGCCATTTTGGAGTTAAACCACTATGCAGCTCCAGTCACACCTCCCATGGCAGTGACTGAAACAGCCTGCATGAAAAAAAAGTAACATTTTCAATCAGATGAAAGCACAGTGTGTTCACTTTAGAAGTTGTTATCCACTGCTCTGTAAATTAAACTCTAGTCAGACACAAGAGGCTCCTGCAATGTTGTGGAGGCTATTAATAGAGCAGGAGATAAGTAATTCAAAATTAAACAGACTGTGCAATAAAGGTAGTTTGAACATTAGATATCTTGAATAGTTAAAAATCTTTTTCTTATCTCTCTGAAAGGGGCACTGAACAACACAGGACTGTGAAGTCTACGAGAATGGTCGACTACAGATCAGCAGACGATGATGCATAGATACCATTATGCACAATTGAGACACTTCTACCACAACATGCCCAACAAAGAGGCAGTACACAGGGAAACAACGTGGTTCGAACATCTTTGCATCACTGACACAGAAGTACAAGGCAAAGTGTCAAACATATGCCAGCAACTGATCACAGAAGACCATACTAGGAGGAATGCCTTTCAAAGACAATGGGAAGACCTAACTGAAAGGACCTACTCGGAAGCCCAATGGGGACAAATACTCATCCCCCAGCACAAAAGCTCAATCAGCACCAGGTATCAAGAAGTCAATTTCAAACTGATATCCCACTGGTACAGGACACCTGCATTATTGCACAGAATTTTTCCAGGAGCTTTAGAGACGTGTTGGAGATGCGAAAACCAAACGGGCACCCTACGCCATATCTGGTGGGATTGCACCAAGATCAAAACATTCTGGGATGAAATAAAAAGGGAAATGACGACAATACTGGGGGATATACCTGACTTCACCATAGAAATGGCTCTTTAACACTACACCGAAAGCTCAATAAGCCAATACAAAAAGTCGATACTACGACACCTACTCAATGCGGCCAAGGCACTGATCCCAGCGAGATGGAAACAAATCCAACCACCCACCAAAGCAGAATGGCTACAGAGAATAGAAGAAATTCATACAGCAGAGGCGAGGTACGCAGACCTGCTAGGAAGAAGCACTAAGCATGTTGAGCTATGGAGACCATGGTACACATACCTCGCACAAACCAGAACATAGAAAGGATCACAACACGACCCAAGGCTCCCGGAGGCCCTCGCGCGTCCTGGCACCCACACTAATCCCTCCCCCACCCCCTTTTCCCCCCACCAGCCCCCACAATTCCCTCCGCACACTCACCCCACAAGGGTCCCACACACCACCCTATAAAAAAGATGTCTGAGGCAGCCGAAGCCAGGAGGAACAGAGACAAGAGGATCACACGACACAAACATGACACGAACTGTTACAGAAACGCTAACACCACGTGTGACCAAACGGAAATCTGAGAAGCTAAAAATAAAGCTATAAATTCATAGAGGACTAACCTCCACAATGAAACCCATTAGATAACCATTAGGAAGCAAGTAGCCATGCAACCAAATGCGGACACACTTAGGCCATAAGACGCGAACAAAACTCATACGTGGAAAGGTGGGAAACACAGCAAACATAACACGAGACGGACAGGAACACGGACCATACTGGATTCTAAACAGACATAGGTCATATACAAGGGAAAGAAGGGAAGAAGTAGAGTACACACACTACCCCCTACAACATGCACTAAAGATCTGAGAACAAGACCCACACGAGACACACACAACGGAGTTGGGGGACCATCTCAGTACGGAGCACAGTCTGAGAAACAAAACGAACACAACGCACACAGTTAACAATTAATAGGCAGCCTCAAAGAAACAGGCACATATTAAACAGCATTCGAAAAAGGGACTAGCTCAACAAGGACAATAGATGAGTTGGTAGTAGAAGATCATAGATGCTGACAACAACAACTCACAAGCGCACACATAACCAGATAGCTAATCGAAAGTCACCGACCTCACCCAACCTGCACTGAACTGTTAATAAACATCCAGGTGACACACCGATACAGACCATACGCCTGTGTAGCCGTAAACGGATGACCAAAGGAGTGCAGAATACTCGGGGATTATACAAAGTCTAGTTAGTCATTTAACATAAAAGCACATGAAAATGGTCGATTTCGAAAAAAGGCAAAAATCGGAAACAAACAGAAGCGACAATCTATGGCACAAACCAACCAGGTTGGATACCACAGATGACCCCATTGCCTCCCTTTCGACCTACCAAGCTAATTATAAATACATACTCATACTAATTATAAATACATATACATACATACTCATTCAGCTTTCTTGTGTCTGTCTGTCAGAATGTGCAGAAATTTTGTCTGGGTAGTACTAAAAATGTCCGTGGCACAAGGTAGCCGGTGTGATCACACAGTAAGGGGGGGCTGCATGTGTTAATTTTTGGTGGGGTTGGGGGGTGCATGTGTAAAGCATTGATAGGGTAAAGGTGGGCTGCATGTGTAAAGCATTGATAGGGTAAAGGTGGGCTGCATGTGTTAAGCATTGATGGGGTAAAGGGGGGGCTGCATGTGTTAAGCATTGATGGGGTAAAAGGGGGGCTGCATGTGTTAAGCATTGATAGGTAAAGGGAGGCTGCATGTGTTGGGTATTGATGGGCTAAAGGGGGCTGCATATGTTAATTATTGATGGGTAAAGGGGGGCTGCATGTGTTATTGATGGGGTTAAGGGGGGCTGCATGTGTTGGGTATTGATTGGTTAAAGGGGGCTGCATGTGTTAATTATTGATGGGGTAAAAGGGGGATGCATGTGTTGAGCATTCATGTGTTAAAGGGGGGCTGCATGTGTTCAGTATTGAGGAGTTAAAGGAGGCGCTGCATTTGTTAAGCATTCATGGGGTAAAGGGGGGCTGCATGTGTTAAATATTGATTGAGTCGAAAGAAGCTAGAGAAGTTATGTATTGATCAATGTGGTGAATAGAGACTGGTTGATGTGGTCAGGAGGGCTGCTTGGACCAGGTAATAATAGATAGGTAGAAGGGAGTCTGCAGGGGTTAAAGCGGCACTGTAATGCTGAACTTTCCTTTCCCCAATCGCTTCCTCTTCTCTCCCTCTCTCAGGATCTGTTCTTCTATTCTTCCTATCTGATCTAGTCTTTAAAACATAAGACAAAGTAGGGACTATTTTGTCTTATGTATTTCTACTACGCTTGACCAGCTTTGACCCACTTCTAGTGGTCAAAGGAATTTTCCCACAATTATCATCTGATCTCGCGATGCCTCCTTTCACTGTTCATGAACTCCCTGTCATATAGACGAAATTACCAAATTCCATCCCAACAGAATGAACTCAGTTTGTTCATTCATATTAGGACATCATTTGGTACTTTCTGTTCAGATTGGAATTTCATTTGAATGAATGAATGAAATAGCAATCCAATTCGTGCCACGGCTGCATCTTGCAGCCACATAGTAAATTCCCACGTGATTAGGGAGCTTTCTACTACAAGGCTTAAAGACCAAAATTACTTAGTATTTGTAATTAATCTGCCCCTACTCTATACCGCGAGTAGGGGCTCACTGTTGTAATAAAGACTCCCCTAAAAATAGTGAGAGGGAAGTAGTAAGCCTAAAAACCTGTAAAAAATAAAATTTATACTTACCATTAGATGTCTTCTTTTTTCTAAAACCTTTTTTCAGCACCAAAAAAGGCCAAATAAAATTTCATAATTCCCCCATTTCATTGACCAATGGTCGGCAGAACTCAATATCTAATTGAGCACATTTTAAGCACATTTTTGACATCTTCCACACCTCCATAAGCACCTCAATACACGAAAGTAATTGCAAAAGAATTACTAGATGGCACTACACCCTGACCCATCTACACAAACTCTTTCCAAATACACCTGCCACATGCTGGAGATGTAAACATGCAGAAGGAGATACAGGTCACATATGGTGGTCATCCCTTCTGGACCAAAATAATAAAACTCATTCACAGGACTACATCTACCACTGTCCCCTAAGATCATTCTTTTCTTCCTTCTCCCACCCTCAATCTCACGCCCAGCATGAAGACTATTTTACCACCTGCTCACAGCAGCAAACTCATTAATCCCCATCAATTGGAAGAACCACAACTCCCCAACAATCTGGGAATGGATCTCAAAGGTAGAGTCTTACAGGATCATGGATGAAATCCACTCTAACTTGTCACATACCTATCCATCATACCTCACTAGCTGGAAGCCCTGGCAAGATTTGATGACTAATCCTGGCATTGGTGGAGTAACACCCTGAAATTCTATGCCTACACTGTAAGTCAGAATGTTCTTTCTCCCATGTGTTCTCCCTTCCAGGAACTCAGACATATGTACAATTCATTGCCCCTCAGAAGCTATCTGCATTTACCACAAATAATTTAACCACCCTCCATACAGTATAGGTAGACACTCCTTTACTAGCCGACTGCATCGGAACTTACCACCTAGTACAGGCACACCACACACCAATATCTCTTTCACTAAACATTGTAGAACCAAAGTTGACCTAATATACTTGATCCCCTCATTACAGAACTGTGGCTCAAAGGTATAATGTTACCAATCCGCCCATCAGCCTCAAGACT